TGCCTCAACTTCCTGGTAGCCCATACCAAGGCTAAGTAAGCCTTCTCCAGCATGGTGTAACGGGTCTCATAATCCAACATTTTCTTGCTCAAATAATAGATGCATTTCTCTACCCTATCCTCAGATTCCTGAGCAAGCATGCATTCCATTATTGTGTCCATTTGTGATAACCCTGTTCCGTATTATGCTGATTGATCTTATTTATGATTGTGGTTATGTGTTTAATATGATTTTGAGTGTCATTTATATGGTTATATGTGGTTTTGAATTCTATCTGTTCACCGTAGGAAAATCTGTTTGATTTTCTGCTTTAGAATTTAAATTGAAAGCCTTATCGGCCACAGAAACTGAAATTGATCGCGCCATTGTGATTAGCGTAATTTTTAGAGCCTATGGTGGAATTTAATTGAAAATTGATTCGGATCAAATTAATTAGATTAAATTGATTAAATAGTGCTCAATTAACTAGTGTTAATGAAACTAGATTAAGGGTGTGTATATATAGGCCCCATTTACTCCTACTTCATTTTGTTTGAGCTCAAATTGGAAGTTACATTCTAGAGAGAGTGAAGGGCCGGTTCTAGAGAGAGAAAGAGGGAGAATTGTGTATCTTGGCTCAAGGTTGTGAATTTGGAAGCTTAACTCCAAGAATTAGCTAGAAATTGGGAGCTTGGAACTCCAAGGTGAGTATTTGAGCATTGGATCATAAATTGAGATTGTAATTTTGAGAATTGGAAGCTAGATTGTAACCGAAAGTGTGACTTAAGTTAAATATGAAGTTAGAATGTGCATGCATGCATAGAATTACCATGAATTGTATAATCTAGCTTGTAGCTTGTTAATTATGAAAAATTGAGTGTTGGATCATACATGCAAGCATGGTTTTGATGAGTTTCATGTGTGTAAGCATCACTTGAACCATTTGAAATGGAATTGGAGTCAAAAATTCGCATGTATGCTTGATTGATGAAGTATAGAATTGATATGAAGTTGAATACACATGTTTTGGAACTATGGAGAGGGTTCAAAATGATTTTTGGAAAAAGGACAACAAATTAATAGCCAGTGTCCCCCTTTGCTGAGGCAAGATTTATGGCGGCACAAACTTCAGAAGAAATTGTGGTTATGACCGCTGCATTGGAGCAGGGGACCGCTCCGCAGAGTGAGGCCAACATCAGCATGTCATACTCGCCCAGGTCGCCCGTTGTGCACCCGGTTTGGGCTCCCCAGTTATACCAGGCTCGTGAGCCCACCACCTTTGAATTGATGGGGATGATAGGCGATCTCCAAAGGTCTGTGGCAGACCTCGCCTATGGAATGTCGGCTTCACCGCCAGCGGCGCCGTATGCCGGGAATTTTGTACCACAGGAGCCCCCGCTACTGGGGCGGATTGTGATAGAGCTCAGCCAGCCAGAGGTGGCTTCCGGCTACAGCTGCGACATGTCAGCAACAACTGGGTTTCGCTCTGAAGTAGCAACCCAAACCCTTGACCAGGCTGAGGCCGGAGGAAAAGATAAAATGAAGGCAGATGCCGGCCCCATAGAGCAACCGCTGTGGGCAGTCGAGGCTCTGAAGGCCAGAGGAATGAGCAAGCAACAAACATCTGCAATAGCGACCAAAGCTGTAGATGATGCTTTCCCCGCTCCAATCAAAGGCAATTCAAGCCAGGCAGAAAATCGGGATGGGCCCCGTCATGCCCAGACAATTCCAATAGTTCCCAACCCTGCATCGGGAAAGTTTCAAAAAGCCAAGGCAGCGCCAGCCGATCCTTTCGCCAGCGCATCTGGCAAGAATCCTCAAACTGCAAAGTACCTGCCCCGAGGGCGCAGAGTCTTTCATGACCTCCACATGCCTTTGTCTAGGGCATTGTTAATACTGGCGAAGAATGGGCATCTTAAGCCTTTGGAGCCCCGGCCACTCCCGAAGAATCTCCCCGCCACTCATGATGCTACCTTGTACTGCGCGTACCATCAACAGTCCGGTCACAGTACCGATGAATGTTCCCGCCTTCATCATGAAGTGCAGGATTTGATTGATAACAAGGTTATCCTACCACCTACCTCAGGCAAGCCCGTCACCACTCAGTTGTTGGATTTCGAGGGCTCAGATACTGCGAGTATGTAAAGCGAACCGCCTGCGGGCAACATTTGGTACACTTTTGGATGAAGCGTCTGGCACGCATTTTTGAGCATCGGTGAAACCGAGTTTTTGTAAATCCGGGCTTGGATGTCGAGTCAGTCTTTTGTTTTTGAGTCTGTCTCTTTGTCTTGAGTCAGTCTTTTTTGCTTAAGGGTCTGTCTGGTTGTATCGAGTCAGTCCCCGTTGTATATAATACCTGGTGATTCTGGGGTTGTTGGTCCCGAACACCCGAACACCGTTTTGTTTTGTAATTATTTGTTTTTGTTTTGAGTCTGTCTCTACCGAGGGGCCAGTCGCACCAACAAAGGCCTCAGGATCCCCGGTTGCTATCTCAACTTCATGCTTGCTTTCAGCATAAGGGCCAGAGAATTTGAATGGGCTGACAGTACATCTCGCCTGCTCTCCTGTGTGCCAAACTCATTGCATTAACCTAAGTTTTCCAAAAAAAAACAAACTTTTTGAACACTGCGGTCATGAAAACGAAGAGGAAGGAATTCCTCGGGTTTTGCAAAATTTTGATCATTTTGAGAGAAAGAGAGGCGTGCTAAGCCTTTTTATGAATGAAATCATGCTTGTCGGCGTGAGTACTGAGAAGGACCCTGGCCTGATCCAGATTGGTTCCACACTATCTTCGGCACGAGCGATTCGTCGCCTTCTTAAAAACTTTCAAAAACAAATGTTTTACGCGGCCCTGCGAAGACCTGTGTGGAATCGCTCTTGAGATTGCGCAGCCTAGGATCGCTCTCAGCCTCAAGATTCAACCTATTTGTTTTCCGACTTTGAACCCTTTCAGAATGTTCAGAAAGCTCAACGGACAAACGCCATGAAAGGCCCGTGTGGCCAGTTTTGAGGTAGCCTTCTATCAAGAAGCATCAAGGCCGAATCAGAAGGAGTAGATCTCGCCGGGAGAAGCTCGTAGAGTAACCCTGATGGATTCTCCGCAAAGGACGGTCCAGTCATGATGGTGGTAGATGCGGAAAGTGGAATACAATGTGCTGTTGGACATGGAAAAACCAGCCTAGGGGGCGGGAAAGAGCAGTTATGATCCTGGAACAAGTCTTGCAAGTGACAGTACTTGGGAGGAAATGATATGGAAAGGCTCGCTGGGCCGAAAACCCGGAAGGGCGACCCAGGCAAAAGTTAGAGCAAGAGAAAAATACAAAAGAAAGAATGAAAAAAGAAAAAAAGGAAAAAAGCAAAAAATGCAAAAAAGAAAAGAGGCTCGCAAGGTCGAAAACCCGCATTGGGCGCCTTGGCAAACGTGAGAGCCAAACAAAGTGAAGGTTAAAATACCCGAGTGTACCTTAACCGGAACTACGTAAGGCTTGATTCCCATGTTTGGGATACGTAGGCAACTTCATCATGAAGTCCAGCCCCCAACGCTTTCATAAGCGTCTCAGTCCATGCAATGGTTTCGATTTCATCCCAAAGTCCAGTGGCCAACACCCTTCAAGGTGACTGTGTCCATATATGTTTGTGACCGTCTTCGTCATCGCTGTGTCAGAAGACTCGACCACCGCCAATGAAGACTGTCTGCGGATTGCTGCGGCACCATCCCAAACAAAGGGGCAACTTTCCGTTTGCCACAAGCCGCGCGAGCCGCCATTCAAACTAGGGGCAACTTTCCGTTGCCTCCCACCCCCTTTAAACCAGGGGCAATTTTCCATTGCCTCCGATCTGAGGTTGCGCATCTCAAAGAGTATGTTCCATGCTCGTTGAGCATTGACTGTTTGAAAAATAGTTTTTGAAAATTTTTACTAAGGTTGACTATTTTCTCGAAAACTATTCCATTTTCCAAAACTGGACCATTGTCTTGGACCCAAAAAGGAAAATTTTCAGTGCTTAGCGGCCTGACTCGCACGGTTTTCAAATCAAAAATCGAACAATATGTTAATTTCCGACTCTCGTTTGAAATCAAACCGTTTTAGTAGAAGCAAAAACGAAAAATGGTTAAAATGATGAACTAGGGGCACAGTTGAGCAGGCGTTCTGTCTTTCCCCGTCATCGACGTACTTGCCAGAAGAGCGCTCTGCCCGAGAAGAAATAGCTGTGAGCTAACGGCATCGGGCGTGAACCCACACTTCCTCATTCATCCATCACCCCGGGAGGGATGAAAATGAGAGATTGAAGAATAGAGAGGTGTAAGTTGAGAGAAAAGTGAGGAAAAAGGGTTTTGAAAAGAAAATCCGAGCTTGAGAGTCGAGTGATGTGAGGATCACAAATCAGAAAGGGTGGGAAACAATACCCAGATTGAACTGGCTCCTCGTGGTCCGAGGTCTCCCATCTTCGTTTACGCGTCTGTGCGTCGTGTCTCTTTCATTTGACGGTCTCGTCTTTTGTTTTGAGTCTCACCCGAGCGTGTCCCGTTGTGTTTAGGTCGTGTACCTCTTTGTTTGAGTCCTCCCCGCTGTGTTCAGTGGTAGGCTCGATATCCCGGCTTGAAAAACCCTCATTCAATTTCAAAAATCATTTATGCTCAGAATGCTGTGCCATTCTCTACATTTGAGCGTGTTTCGATTCCAACCGGTTCCATCTTTGAGGTCCGTCCTGTCAGATTGGGCTGTTTGTTTGAGAATCTGCCGTGTGCAAAATGAAACGAATGCTGTGTTATGGGCTGTATGCAGATTAATCCCCAACAGAGTAAGGGCCGTGTATCCGGAATCAGGCAGTGGGTTGCTTGGGTTATTTTGCTGTTGGCTGTTTAAGTTATCTGATTATTACAGTGCAAGTGTTCAATTTTCAGACAACCAATCAATTTCATTTACATTGAGGTGTAACATGATGAGATGCGATGCAATACTTGAGATATGTAAATGTGACACTTTTTTTTTTAGCAAAAAACTGTTCATTTCATAATCTTTTCAAATGTACAAGTTTTGGAAATCTGCCTGCCGCAGTATAAGGTAATCTATCTACCAACCCAAAAAAAAGTACAAGAAAGAAAGAAAAGATAGCAAAAATCTGCATCCATGTCCAGCGACTCCAAGGACTGTCAGTCCGTCCTGGTCCTCTTCCTGGACGAGGGTCCACGAGCATCATCAGCGTCGTCGTCAGAGCCCGAGCTAGAACCGTCTCCGGTCTCCTCCTCCGATGACTCTGCCTCCGCCTCTGACTCCTCGTCGTCGTCATTATCCGGGACTGGAGCTCGCGAGCTACTCCCAACATGAGTACGCCCTCCCCTGGTGCGGGGAAATATCCTGCCCTCCTCATCTCTCCCCCGAGCAGGGACAGAAGGTCTGGCCGGAGCACCTCCTGCCATGGGAATCTGGAAAGGAGGCTGAAAAGTACACGAAAGGGAAATGCATCAGTATACTGTAGACAGTTTATCAATGCAGAATGCAGTGTGTAAGTACAGTGTATGAGTGCCGTGAGCAGTTTAGCAGTGCAGAATGCAGTGTGTGAATACAGTGTGAGAATGCCGTGAGCAGTTTATCAGTACAGAGTACAGTGCAGAATGCAGTGTATGCAGTGTGTCAGATGCTGTGAGATCAGTGTATCACGTGTTGTGTCGTGCATTAGATTATGCAAAGCAGTGTATGAATGGTTTGAGGCCAGTGTCAGAAGGACATACCGGTATGCTATAGACGGATAGGAGGTCAAATGTCCGCTGGAGCATCCCCATCATCGAGGCATTCATCGCCAACGACTGACGGGTGTACTCAGAAGAGGCCTGCAAAAGTATCAGATGCATCAATATTCTGTGGAATATCAAGTAAACCGAATTGAATAACTGTACAAAATGCAGTAGAACATACCGGCAGTAAGTCGGGGACGTCAATGAACTCGTGCCCAGCCGGTGGAGGGGCGAAGGGGATCTGATAGGTCGACCCACCCTGCCCCTGGAAAGTCAGTACAGCAGGCAGGGCAGGCCAGCCAGCTCCTCGTCCTCCCCGCACTCCGCCCCTACCACGGACCCGGGCCCTCCTCGAAGATCCAGCCTCTGCTCCCGCTCCGGCCCCAGCCGCCGAGGCCACAGGCCTGGCCCCCTCTGCTCGACGACCGCTCAGGGGGCGCATCAGGTACGTCCGCACGTACTCCTGGTAGTCGCCGGTGCCTCGGAAGCCGGCCTCCTCCCAGCCGATGGAGTAATCATCCAGCTGCTCAGTGGTCAGCCCCTCGGTCTCCCTCATCTCTGTAGGAGGGTGAACCGGGACTATCTGCTCGGGTAACCCGCGGGTCTGGCGTAGAAAACGCTCCCCCAGGTACCAAGCCCGACAGACCGGGCCCTCTAGCAAGATCCAGAAATGCGAGGTCTCCTCAGCACCAGGGAACCGACCCCGCATCGCCGACGGCAAGGAGGCCCATGGCCGCCATGTGATCTGAAAATGACAGACAGTTTGTTATCTACTGTTATTGAAACATGCAGTGGGAAAGCGAAGCTAAATGAACTGAAAGCAAAGCATACCTCTGTGGGGGTGATGGTGTCGAAATATCGGCGGAAGAAGCCGAATGTCTCCCATGGTCACCGGGTGCATCTCCCGTCAAAGCGACTCGAGAACGGGACAGCCGGAGGAGGCTCCGCAACTGGTACGGGTGCAAGCCTAGGGAAGTAAGCGTAAACCCACAACTGCAAAACAGATGTCAATATGACCATCAGATAAAGCAGGATATACAGAATGAAGCAGAAATGGCAGAGCCGTGTGTTGAGCCGTGTATTGTGTACAGTGTACAGTGTGAGCAGTGTACAGTCAGTGTAAAGCAGAATGCAGTGTGTACCGTGTGTACAGTATACAGTAAGTGTAAAGCAGACCACAGTGTGTGCAGTGTACTGAGTACAGAAAGTACGAGACAGAAATGAAAAGTGGAGAAGAAATGTACCTCCCAAGCCCGCCAGTAACCTCCAAGCAGCTGGCCGCTGCCGCGAGAAGCCGAGCTCATATATCCGTACAGGGTGGCCAGAGCAGCGCCGCCCCAATCGTAGTGCAGAATATCCCGGACGTCCACCAGTGCGCTAAGATGGCAGAGAGGCACGGTGTTCGCCCGGTCGGCGAAGATGGTAGTCCCGAACAGGAACATGAGGAAGCCGCAAGCATACCTCTCCTCGTCCTCTGGGGTCATCTGCACCTCCTCCAAAACGAGCTGAGCCCTGAACTGTGTCTCGAACCAGGAGTATCGGACGAAGCCTGGACGAGCTAGCGGTGGGGCCTCCCCCAGTAGATGGACCTGAGCGGCGGTCCACTCATCCATGTCTGTGTCGAAAGGGATCGGATCCCCCCCTACCCCGATGCCTGTGAGCATCGAGAAGTCATAAGGGGTCATCGTCATGTCCCCTGCAGCAGAAAAGTGGAAAGAATCGGTGGTGTCCCACCATCTCTCCGCCAGAGCGGCAAGGAGAGGCCTGCATGTGGACAACCTGGAGAGCCCTCGGCAGAAGGTGCCGAAGCCCGCCCGGTCCACGATCCGCTGGACCGCATCAGGGAGCTCATCATACCACTCCCGTGCACCAGTATTCCCATACCCGCGAATGGTATGGGAACCCTCCTGCAAACAGAAAATGACAATTGCAGGACAACATTCAAAATGCAATTTTGCAAGGACAGATATAGCATGTATGCAAGTTTGTCAGTTTCAGGCAAATACCGGGTGCCGGTGTGCTCACAGTAAAATACGTGTGCTGTGTCAGCGTGTTTGGGTGTTTCAGAATAGATATAGCATTGTGTGCAAATCTGACAGATTCAGACAAATACTGGGTGCCAATGTCTATGTAGTGAAATACAGTGTGTGCCGTGTGTTTGGGTGATTCAGGGCTAGTGCAGTGTGTGTGCATGTGTCAGTCTCAAGCAGATATCAGTTGTATGTATGTTTACAAGTCAACTACGGTCTACGGCATATCAGATTTCAGCAATTAGAGAAAACCGCTAACTATGGCAGTTTTTGTATCCTACATTGCAGAAAGTAAAGCAGAAGATGAAAAGCTACCTCGGAAGTGCCGAATGAAAGGTGGGAGGTAGGCTCGCGTAGTAGTAGCTCAGGCACCGCCTACCTCTCAAAGCTCCGAAACTGACGCAGGCCGTCTGGGGGCAGAACGTGGATCGCCGGCCGGTAGGTCGCCGGGTCGAACGGGCGCTCGCTCAGTGGTAAGAGCTCGACCTCGGGATCCATCTCGTGGTCCGGGGGAGTCCCGCCACGTGGAATGTCGTCCGCCATGTAGAGAATGGTGTGAAAATGGCCCGGAAAAGGAAAACCGGGTCGGAATACGAAGAGTCAACCGGAAAGTCAACTCCCGAGAAGGTCGGAAATGGCCGGGAAGGCCGAAATTTGAAAGGGCACGGAAATGAAGAGGAAAGTGAGGGGGACAGACCCCGAAAAGGCGAGAACGCCAAACGAGGCACCGAAACGAGAATGTGATCGGTCGAAAATGTCCGAAACGCGAAGAGGATCGCGAATCCGACGACGAAACGGGCATAGAACGCGAAGAAATGGACGAAAAAGGAGGGGGAAAAGCTCTAGAGAGAGAGAGCAAAGGATTTCAGCGTGAGAAGAATGAGAAAATAGGGCTTGAAGCCCTATTTTATAACACCCGAGGTGAAAAGACAAAACTGCCCCGCACCAGCAACTGTTTGCCGGTCGGCAATGTTTTGTGCCGGCCGGCACTTTTTTGTGCCGATAGAATTTTTTTTTGTGCCGATGGCCTCATCTTTCGGCCGGTGGGGTTCCCACAGCCTTGTTTAGGCCATATGAGAAGTTCGTGGTCTTCATAGCTCAAGAAAGTGCAAGAAAGTGCATCTCCGACATTCAACCGGCCTCCGTTCTGACCGCGGGCCGTGTCTCCAGTGCGTGGCACTCGAATTCATACAAGGTGTATCCTTTTTGTATCCTTTTGAATTCAAAAGTTACCCCATGTGTGTTGCACGAGTTCATCACACTACTTCGGTGCATTACATTGCGCTGTCATGCGCCACACATTTGCATTGTTATGCACGTGTTACATGCGTTGCAACACGCACCCCTTTGCATTATCGTGCACATTGCTCATGCATCATCATTGCATTTCCATTCCATGCATTGTCATGCATTCTGGAATACGTGCGTTGTTGCGCATTTAAGCCCATTTACGCTCCGTGTGGCCTGCATATCACACTTAGCATCGCACTGTTTTGTGCATTTCAAACCTCGCGCTGTTCTGCGCATCGCACTGTTTTGTGCATTTCAAACTTGCGCACTGTTTTGTGCATTTCAAATCGTCGCACTGTTTTGTGCATTGCATTCCGTCGCGCTGTTTTGCGCATCTCATTGCATTTTGCATTGTCATGCATGTTCATTCTTTACTTGCGTAGACCGCATGTTAATTCTTTATCTGCGTAGACCGCATGTTTGTAATCATCTCTTTACTTGCGTAGACCGCATGTCAATTCTTTACTTGCGTAGACCGCATGTTAATTCTTTACTTGCGTAGACCGCATGAAAATTACATTACCTGCGTAGACCGCATGTTTGTAATCATTTCATTACTTGCGTAGACCGCATGTTAATTCTTTACCTGCGTAGACCGCATGTTTTTGATTGCGTAGATCGCATGTTCAATTTCAATACCTGCGTAGACCGCATGTTTTGATTGTGTAGACCGCATGCTTAATTCCATTACCTGCGTAGACCGCATGTTTTGATTGCGTAGACCGCATGTTCAATTTCAATACCTGCGTAGACCGCATGTTTTTGACTGCGTAGACCGCATGTTTTGATGGTGTAGACCGCATGTTTAATTTCATTACATGGTGTAGACCGCATGTTTTTGATCGCGTAGACCGCATGTTTAATTTCATTACCTGCGTAGACCGCATGTTTTGATTGCGTAGACCGCATGTTTAAGTTTCGTTACCTGCGTAGACCGCATGCTTAATTCCATTACCTACCATGCTTAATTTCATTACCTGCGTAGACCACATGTTTTCCTTGCGCATGATTTATCAATTTCATTACCTGCGTAGACCACATGTTTTCCTTGCGCATGATTTATCAATTTCATTACCTGCGTAGACCACATGTTTTCCTTGCGCATGATTTATCAATTTCATTACCTGCGTAGACCACATGTTTTCCTTGCGCATGATTTATCAATTTCATTACCTGCGTAGACCACATGTTTTCCTTGCGCATGATTTATCAATTTCATTACCTGCGTAGACCACATGTTTTCCTTGCGCATGATTTATCAATTTCATTACCTGCGTAGACCACATGTTTTCCTTGCGCATGATTTATCAATTTCATTACCTGCGTAGACCACATGTTTTCCTTGCGCATGATTTATCAATTTCATTACCTGCGTAGACCACATGTTTTCCTTGCGCATGATTTATCAATTTCATTACCTGCGTAGACCACATGTTTTCCTTGCGCATGATTTATCAATTTCATTACCTGCGTAGACCACATGTTTTCCTTGCGCATGATTTATCAATTTCATTACCTGCGTAGACCGCATGTCTTGATTTGCGTAGACCGCATGCTTAGTTTCATTACCTGCGTAGACCGCATGTCTTGATTTGCGTAGACCGCATGCTTAGTTTCATTACCTGCGTAGACCGCATGTCTTGATTTGCGTAGACCGCATGCTTAGTTTCATTACCTGCGTAGACCGCATGTCTTGATTTGCGTAGACCGCATGCTTAGTTTCATTACCTGCGTAGACCGCATGTCTTGATTTGCGTAGACCGCATGCTTAGTTTCATTACCTGCGTAGACCGCATGTCTTGATTTGCGTAGACCGCATGCTTAGTTTCATTACCTGCGTAGACCGCATGTCTTGATTTGCGTAGACCGCATGCTTAGTTTCATTACCTGCGTAGACCGCATGTCTTGATTTGCGTAGACCGCATGCTTAGTTTCATTACCTGCGTAGACCGCATGTTTTGACTGCGTAGACCGCATGTTTATTAATTTCATTACTTGCGTAGACCGCATGTTTATGGCAGATGCCGATCCCATTGAACAATCATGTTGTTGGCCCAGCTGAGAGCTTTGAAAAGCTCAGGGGGATGAATAATAATAGCAACAAGGTCATGTTGCAGTCAATGACTGAAGCTGTTGGTAT